TTCCTCCTCAGGCTCGAATTTACCTTCCTGCCAGTGTTACAGCAGTATCAGCCCTTTGATCTCAGTGGAGTCACTCTCAACAGGACGCAAGGGAGGGCAGACTGGAGAAGCAGAATGTTTCCCCAAACAACCTACTCCTTCTTTTAGGGAGACCACTGTAAGCAGAGACTTGAGAATCAGTGGTGTAAAGTCAGCGTAGGCACAGCTAGAATACATATCCTATGTTGTGTTGGCTTCAAAAGCTTGGAGAAAGGATGGAAAATATCCTATTACACAAATACGTTACCTGGGGATAAAACACAGCTTCTTTCACCAAAAAAAACTTTCTAAATGTTGATTGGTATTCAATGTATAAGGCAACCAGAAGGGGGCAAAATGATTACCATGACAATCCAGCCAGGTTTAAATTGAACTTTAAATGACAGGGTATTTATTATAGGTCAAGCTCTTCCCTGAACCGCATCAAGAACATAGTTGTTGTCTGAGGGACAAGTCAAAGCAGATCCTGTCTCTGTATTGCCACTGCTCTGAGGGAATAAACAAAGGAGCTAATCAAAACTCAGAGACATTGGTCTATATTCTGCTAACCTCCATTATGAGAGTTTTCCTTGGGGTCAACCTTCTTGCTCACGTGAGTACAGCACACAGGGTTTTAGCACAGGTAGCACCCATCTGTACAACTTGCTGAGTATTGGTCTTTTCTGTAAAGTAAAAGATTTTCTTTGGAAAAATATCTAAAAACTTCAACAGGTTTTTCTCTCTCTGTCTCCCAGGTATCCCACACAACCCTGTCGTTTTGGAAAACTCTTATTGCTTTTACCAGCTTTACGATCCATTAGTCCATCTACAATAGAAGAAGTGTTTTTCAAAAAGACCATTGGGAATGTACCAATTACAAGACTGCTTTCAGATATGTACAAATCCAGTGACATATAAATTACCTTAAAAAAACCAATCAGGATGGACAGTTTGAGAAGAACTTTTATCTATGGAGAATAAGCCTCAACTAACAAAATCTACAGGAAGCATAAGCCTGGGAATGTTTAGCCTTTAAACCCATTGACAAAAAATACCCCAGTAGATATGATTCTGCTGCTCTGAACAGAGTGATTTAGATCATGGAGAGAATGCTTTGTTCTACAGAAAAAGTGAAAGTGGTTGGAATTTGGCTGCTATTCCTGTTACTACAGGATGGAGGCAATTCAGATGCCAGTCATAGTTAACAAAGACTCCACTATTCTTTCATTTAACTGGCAGATCTGAGACAAAATGTGAAAGAAGGTACTTTGGTTTGTTCAGTATTTGGAACCGGGTGACCAAACTTGGCTTCTGTTGTAACGTGGGATGCGGTGGCCTTCAGAACTGTTTTAAAAGTAGCCTATGTTGGGAAAATGTTTTTAATGTGATAGGCAACATTTAAGACCAGGTTACCAAAACATTGCTTCTGCTATAATACGTCATGAAGTGGCCTTCAGAACTGATTAAAAAGTAGCTTATGACGGCAGCTCCATTCTTCCTGCAAAATGAACTGGTGATCTTTGGTGCGGATGTCACCACAATTTGTTCGGTTAACATCTCAAAGACAGAAGAGCTTTATACACTTCCTCCCCGACCTTCCCTCCTTCTTCTTCCACACACACAGACAGACATTCACATACACACCTGAAAAGACACAAGTCAAGAAAGGAAGACTAAAACAGCAAAACCAAATACAATGGAGATGACCGCTTCAGTGACCTGCTGGCTGTCCCGTTGGCACAGTGCTGAAACCAAAGGCAACGGCGGCCAAACTCTTTGTCAATGAGATGTGCAGAGAAGTGAAATGACTATAAAAAAAATCAATGGAAGGAACTTTATTTCAAAGAAATAAAGGTTGTTGACTGATACAATGCTAACAATTTCCAAAAGTCTCCAATGCCTTTTTAGAAAACTCCAGGTTCTAATTTTGAAGCCTTGTTTGCCTACACCCTCTCACACACAAAAATGTTATAAGCTGCTTATTTGATGTATGAAAAATGTAGAAAAAACATTTAAAGATAGCTGCTGTACTTTTCAAAATTTGATTTGTTATTAGGAACTAGCACTGAGAAAAATCAGCACTTGGACTATCATAGAATGAGTAAAACTTTTCCTGTACAAAGTGGATTAACTGATTTGTGAAGTTAAAAAGTTGTACTCATTGTATTTACAAAGAATAAAAATATATTGAATTTAAATTACTTTCCACTGTTCTTTTAATGCTTGTCCTTCTATTTCTGGATCAGTTTCTTCCACTGTACCCTACTTACCAGGGAACAGAAATATTCTCTACTAAAATGGATTGCCTTGGATGCTGTGGAGTCTCCATCATCAGAGGTTTTAAAAAACAGGTTAGACAAACATTTAAGGAATAGCTTAGGTGATCCTGCCTTGGGGCAAAGGGACTTTGAAGTCCTGCATAGAGCTGTTTTCTATAATTCAAATATGCACCTGCTGCAAGGTTTCCTTCTCAAGGAGCTGACACAGAGCTTTTTCTAGGACACAATACTAAACGGATCAGAGGTCTAACCTAGTATAAGTCTTCTGTTTCACATTATTACAATTTTAAATATTGGTGAATTGTGCAGCTAACAAAGGGTGATGAGTACAAAAACACTGCTTCAATTAAAAAGATTCTGAGGTTTTATTAAGGTGTCCAATTGTGTAATCACACCAAAGAAAAGAGGTCAGCAACTCCCAGTGCACAGGAACAAGTTGGCAATAGGAGAAGGCAAATACAACTTATCGTTCATATGGCAATGAGTGACCAAAGAGCCATGCGCGCTAAAATGACAGGAGGAAATGTACAGTGTATATCAATGGCTCATCGGTTTTCAGTGTCAAGGAGTACAGATCACAAGTGAAATCCTAGCTCCATTGACTCCAAGCACAAAAATCGCACGCATTTCAGAGGTCAAAGTTTTCACCCCATCTCTCTTCCATCTGTGCAGTTTGCTAGGTCTCACATTCTGCCCTTTCCAAGACAGCCAGACCATAAAGTAGACAAGACCATTCTTTTGATGAGTCGGGTGAGACAAGGCATGGACTACAGGACTTTGAAACATCTTCTATACAAACTAGCATGGAGCACTTGAGAATGCATTTACCACAGGGCATAATAGCACATTCTTAGAAAGAAACCAACACTTTATGAAGTGTTCTTACTGCACCTGTAATAACCTTCAACCATTTTCTGCTCTCTATGCTAAAAAGAACTGGACAGGGCAGAAAATTAATTGTGGCTTTCCACTCTGTGACAATTCAGTTTATGAGCTAAAGAAGTTGAACCCGCTGCTGTGCAGAACCCATGACAGAACACTCGTTTCACTAAGATTCATGCTGCTATCCTGGAGCAGCAATAAACATGAACTGCATGCATGCCGCAAGGCAACCGCACTCTGCAGTGTGCTGTAGTCCCAGTCCCTAGATCACCCGGGCTAGAGGATGCAGCAGAGTGTACCGGCTTTCTCCCAGCTGCAAAGCAGGCAGGGCAATGGGTGCACACCCATATCTCATCCTCTTACCTGCAGGACCTAGCCCAGCTGCAGAGCAGACTCACGAGCTGGGAACAATGCCCAGATCCCTGTGGTTTAGTCACAGCTAATCTCAGACCACGTCTTCCTCCCAGTACTGCAGGCTCCACAGAAGCAGAACCAGTTACACTACACTAGAATTAGGGTCTCTAGTTAGCCTTGAAGGACTGAAGGTCAGGTGAAATCCCAGAGTCCAGTGCAGATGTCCTGTCAATCTCAGAGGTTAACACTTTAAAGTCCTCACTTTGGAAATAGGAATACTTTGACATCAAGCATGCAGCTTTTCCCTCTTCAGCTTAATTCTTTTTTTTCCACAGCAGATGACACAGATTGTGTCATCATCTTTTAGGGATAAGATAGGGCGTTTACTCTGATTTCTGAAAGAAGCTTCTCTCAGAAAAGAACATTTGAGAAGAAAAAGAACACCTTACTACATATCTAAACCTAAATAATAGAACTTCATATACATTTAGCCCTTCTTTCCCCATTTCCAAGAGTAACTCAACTTTTACGTGTGATTCAACAAGCACAGGGAATTTTAGATTTGATTTTACATTTTCAAAAACTTCTTGAAAAGCTAGACTGTGTTGAAAAGCTAGACAGCTCTGGGCTGCAAGTGGGCTCTGTCAGTTTTGGTCCCTGGTTTCATGAATAGGACTGCTGGAAAATTCAGCACAGTCTTTGTTAAGTATGAGGGGGAAAGAGCAATTATTTGAGCACCTAACTATTCAGTGTAGCTAGTCACTAGTACTACATATAATCCAGTCAGCCACCACTGTTTTGTCAGTTCAATCTTTTACAACCAGATTTCCAAAAATGAGGTTAATGGTCTTAGTTAAAGGAAACTAAACAACTTTGCCGGTAAGTTCGTAGGATGTTCTCAACAGTGATACAGAGTATTTTAAGAAGAAAAAAGCAGCAGAGCCAAGTCTAAGTCAACATGTACTGTTACCAAATAGCATAAAACACTGGATCAGATTGCTGCTAGAGTGTTCTTGAATCTGTTTTCAAGAGCATCTGGATAGGTAACTCCTATGTCACATTTGGAAGCACTAAGGAAGCTTCTCCAGCCATAGAAGCATCTAGTGAGAAAGACGACTTCAGCAGTGTTGATGCCTGAACTGCAGTTGACAAGCAACCACCTGCATTTCACCAGTGGTCATACAAGCACAATGCTACAGCTTCCCCTTCCTTTAATGTTCAGGGAAGTGGTCTGTGATCACATCTTATAGCAGGCTTGTATGACTTCACACCCCTAATTGTAGTTGTAGAGCAGAGCTACTTTAACCTAGGACTGAAGTTATAATATATTATAGGTTATGCCAACATTCCTTCCTCTGTAGGATGGTATAATTTTCACTTGCTAGTTAAAGCTAGATTGATGCTTCTCATGCCAAGTAGAAAGGTACTCTTTTCCCAAACATATTGAAGCCACAGATCTGTTGACTACCTGCCTACCATGAATGGGGTTCTAGCTTTGGCTCCACAACACAGGAATAGCCTTCAATACCTTTATACGTTCTTTAACACTTGAGCAGCGAGTGCCAACATCTAAGGGTATTCAGTGCTGGCTGTTAGTAACACAAGACTACACTGCAGAAGAGCATCACAGCAAGGCTGAAACACCAGTTCACTTAGTATAGTCAAGTCCCTGCTTCTCAGAAAGCATGAGATACCCCACACTCAAGGTCAAGAGTGACAAAACATTTGAAGTGCATTTTCACTTTTATTTCAAAACTTTAGTATATAAATTTGATTTTTTCCTCTTACAGAATATAAAGATAATTCCCTCATTACTTCAGTATAAAGTGTTTTACAAGCTTGAAGACAATTGCATAAGTGTTTCTCGCACAGGGTATCAGAAATAAAGCAGTCTTTCTACAGAAGTTCAGACAGATGACTACCTCAGAAACAGCATAGCAGTTTAGTCAAATACAAGTGAACACGTGACACTACAACTGTGCAAGTTCAAGTAAGGCCAAGTCAGTAAACATTATTAAGTCATTGCAAATAAGAGTGGAAAGGTTTGTGAGACATTGCAAGGGGTGGATAGTCTCATAGTATAATATTCTTAAATCAAGGATTCAGAGGGATTTAGCTAGAAGACAAGTGAGTTCTTTAATGCTATAAAGCATATGAAAAGACCAAGCAGTGTACTGATGTTAGTGGAGACTTCGTGCCTGTTTATCCTCAGCATGCTAAGACAAACTACAACCTCTTAAAACCAAGCATAAGAACCACTAATGTTTGAGAAGATGGTTTCAGAACTCAAGTATGTCTTATTTTGGATGGTGTGTAGTTTTTGTCTATTACTTCATCTTGTAAGAACATGTGAAGACAGCGCTCGTTCTGTGCCAGTGGGTGGCCTGCAACCCTGGAGAGGAAAAAACAAGCGTTAGTGCTAACAAATCAAGTCTACTTGCAGCTAGCCAGCAGAGCAAGGTTTTATACCAATAACCTATGGTTCTGCACTTAGGCATAGATCCCACTTCCAGTTCACTGTTGGTGACTAGAATGATGCCGGGCAGCAAGATTTGTCATTCTTCCCCAGATGAAGTTAGTCCATAGGAACCCTGAGCTACTTCTGATCATTTGGAAGCATGGTTGTTGCAGTTTAACCCGGCAGGCAGCTAAACACCACACAGCCGTTCGTTCACTTCCCCCCCTGCAGTGGGATGGGGGAGAGAATCAGAAAAAAGGCAAAACTCATG